TATAATGGTTGTTATTAATAGTGAATAAATCTAAAGCTTTTGAGACTATTATTTTGTGTTATTTCATTTATCATAAAAGGGGAGTGCTGAAACTGAATGTTTTCAGTTTCAGCACATGCCCCTCAAAAGGTCTGTGCACGGCCCTGTCCGTGACATCATTTTTGTTTGTTTCTAAAAGCAGTGTAAGAGTCATAAAAGCATGTACAGTATGTGAAACTCTGAAGATTTGGACTGTGATGTCATGAGCTGTCATAGGAAATACTTCATGAGTGAGCACTGAAAATATTAACTAATGTAGATCTGTTAATCTTTAGTTAGACTGTAGAAAGGGTGTTGTATGTATTATGACATATGAGTCACTGTTTTCGCACACTGAATACTGATCTTATGACTTTTATACATATATAATATGGTGCTGTTTTGTGTTTTTGTCACACGCACAAGCACACACTGTTGAAATGACACACAGATACACAACATAAATTAGTAATAAACAATCTCACCGGTTTCTGTGCTTTTCTTTTGTAGAACATCGGCTCAATGTAAGTGATCTCGTCTTCATTAGTCTCAACTGTTTCAACGATAACAATAATAGATTAAAACATTGCATTTCTGTGTTTTCAGTGTGTTTTATTGAAGCATCTGTGAGACAATGTAACTATATTGATCATTGCTAAACCCAACATCTACAGACATTATTTTGTGTTCTTTCCATTAACCATTGTATGCTGAAAATCCTTTACTTAATTTGGTCTCAGTGATCTGAATTTATCCACCTCAGTTTTTAAGTCAAAAGAAGCATTATTTGTGGATAACTTTGAGAATGTTCACTCAAAACCTACGCTCACATTGATCAATCATGCGCCTATGATCACTCGTTTCCAAAAAAGAAACACAAAACCTGTGCTAATTGAAATAATTGAAAGAAAACAAGTTGAAAAAAAAGATTGAATCCAATGTTTGGTAAAATGTATACACCTAAAGTGTAATAAGGTGGGGAAAAAATCCCAAAAAGTAAAACAATTGTCCAGTTTTTTGGGGAAGTTCTTATGACCTGCATGAGCAAAGTTGGTAAGTTTAAGTCCAATGCAATAACATTTAGGAAAAAGAAGCCTCTCTGGATCAAATTACTACCACACAACATGAGGGTTAGAAGGAACTATGCTAATAAAGTATATTGTTATTTGTTATAACACTCATTACTTTTACAAATATAATAGCCATTAAGAGATTTAACACTTGCCTTCTTGATCAGTTTTTCTACATTTCCTGCAAATAGAAAATATCAGGATTGCAGTCAAAATCAGCAGACATCCAGCAGCAGCGGCAGAGATCGGCACTATTTTAGACACTGAGAAAACAGAGAGACAGTCATTAGTGTGACCTATTGAGAAATGAACATTATAATTAGTAGAATTTTGCTGCCTTAAAGTTAACATATAAATGGATTTCAAAGTCTTAGTTTATTTTGTCCTCTACTCTGGGTTACAAGAAAAGAACATTTTCAAGAAGAAATATGGTTCAGCAATATGGTATCAATGTAATTTCCAAGCAGTAAAATGCAATTTTTTTAATTATTATTATTATTACCAATCATTAAAACCAATAATTATAATCAACTCCATAAATAATCACAAATGTACCTGCACATGTGTGACAAAGTTCACTGATGTCCAGATGTGTGGTCTGGTTGCTGATGGGATTGTTGAGCACACAGCTGTAGCTGTTTTTCTCCTGATATTCCACCTCCAGAGGTAGAGAGAGACTGATGCTGAGATCAGACACACTGATGCTGGACAATAAACTGTTTCCTTTGTACCAGGAGAGAGTCACATGACTCACATTCACCACTGAACACACCAGTGAACAATTCTGCTGTGATGATGATGATGATGATGAAGAACAGTCTCTGATGATGTTAGGAGTGGGCAAAGAAGCTGAGAAATAGAAGAAACATCAGAGTAAATGATACTGTTTCAGCTGTTGAGTTAGAGTTTGTGATGTCATTCATTGAGTGTTTGTGATTTCAGTTTTTTAATAACATCGTCTGAGATAGCAACCTTGGAATATTTCATCAAAAGGAAACTGTTTAATAGGTTTAAAATTAAAGTGAAAATAAAGGTGTATCTCAGATGCTATCATTTTTAAGACTGAAAATCTTTAGGATGCACATATTCTTTAAAACTACAAATAAAAGAAACCAATACTTAACTCACCATAGACAGTGAGAGAGAAACTCTTGCTCACACTGTTGGTCTGTAGTAGATAGAGTCCAGTGTGTTGAGTTCTGGTGTTTGTGATGATCAGAGATCCAGTTTGATTGTCCAGCTTCAGTCTGTTTCTGAATCTCTCATCAAGATCATCATCATATACAGTCATGCTGCCGGCCATTACATTGATTTCAGCTATTAAAGTGTTTTCAGATCCAAACCTCCACAGAATCAGATCATCATCCATTAATTCAGTAACATTAGAGTTTAGAGTGACTGAATCTCCCTCCAGCACGGACACTGACTTCACTGCATCTGTATCAGCAAACACACCTGATGAACAGAGAGTTTGTCACAGATCAGAGATTCTGGTGGTTCCAAAACATTTATTTAATGGTGATGCTTCACACAAGTAACATATTATAAGTAACATATAAAACAAAATAACTGAATATTTTTCAATCTTGACACTGTAAAATTATGTTTGTTTCACATATTTAATGGGACATTCACTTTTTTTCTGAATTTGATGAGCTCATGTGAACAGGTGGACTGAATTTTATAAATTTGATCTCCTGATGTTAGACCTGAATCCAATAGCTCTTACAGCAATATCTTAGTTTGATTTCATAATATCCTTTTTCTATGCAAATCCATCATATTACCCTGTGCAACAAACAAAGCATGAACTAAATCAGTAAAAACATAATATAAAAGCACAAAAACACACATTTGTAACTTACCATTTACTTGCCACAAACACAAGCAGAACAAAAGGACAATATGAACCATTTTCTTTGAGCATGCTAACTTTCTAATGAAAATATCTGAAAGTTGACTGTTTAGAAGTGAGATATTAGCGCGTGTGTGGATCCTCCCCCAACAGGATTCGACCACCCTTCACTGACCACACACTAGGGTTTCACTTAAATGACAGTTACAATGTGTAACATATATTAAGACTCACTGTATAGTGGCAGAAAACATTCTGCAATACAGGCATATGTTAAAAGTTTATGGCAGTTTATTAAATCAGTCTTTCATTATTTTTGTGGCAACGTATTTATACACACACCAGAACAGGGTGAAGTCATGCCATGAAATGAATGTATAACTTCATTTATAATGCTTAGCCAAATATATTAGTGTCTATGAGAGATGAATGATGAGTATAAGACAAAAACGTGTATTGTGACTCTTATTTGACTCTTTTTCAAACATGAGTAGGATACAGCTTTTTTTGTAAAAAGGAAGTCAGACTGTGTGGTTCATATAATAAAAAAAATGATGCATCCAATAATACGCACAGGTTTTCCATCCATAAGGTCGAGCCCCATTTCTTTGTAAATAAATGAAACCAGATTGTTTCGCTTTGACACACAGGAGGTGTCGCATTCGGTGAATTGCGTTCATTCTCTTCGCCAGAAAAAAAAAAAGTGCTGTTTATTTTAGAATGTGGTTTTAAAAACCTGTCTGTGTTCGAATGCAACCATATAGTGGGGGCTTTTGTTTACCTTGTAATAAATTATTCCGTTTTTAGAATGCACCAAAAAAAGGTTTGAATTGAAACTTTGCCTGTAAGATGCTTTGGACGAATATATGCATCACACACATTCACAAGATAAAGTTAATCCACGAATTGCATCGTAATTCAGTAGGCATATTGCAATAGTTTATTATTATTATTTTTTTTTTTTGGAGGGGTGGGGGCGAGCTTCCAGTGACAGAGAATCAGACAAAACTTCATTTGTTATGTTTTAAAGCCCCTGTACTGTTTTTCTGGGAGCATTCTCATAGGCCAATTTAAAATGAAACGAAACCTAGGCTCCTCTGCCGGTCACGTGATTTACTGGGAAACGATAGCCTTGCTACGAAACTTAAATTGCGAACCTTAAATATATCCAATATATGCACTATAGCTATGTTACATGTTGCATACATAACATCGCTAGTAAATCGTTTTCACGGATTGTTTTCTATGGGGTAGATGGTGTCATGCTAACTGATAAGTGACCAAATAAAGCTGCAAACAGACCAGCAACCAGCAAACAAGCTTAGATTGTTTTAATATATTTTCACCTAGAACGTGATTCAGTGTGATTCACCTAGAATTATGGCTGATCTTTTTAATTGTTACGAGTTGAGCAGGTTTCTACAACACTGCCCGCCCCGCCTACAGACCGTAGAAATAAAAGCACACCTGTATCGCTTTCTTGTACAAGGAAAATCAGAGCCAATGTAATTGCCGTGTTCTTTTTTTCTTTTCTTCTTTTTCCCTTTTATCCTTACACCGATTTTTTTTAAAAGGAATGCCCCTATTTCCTATCAGAAAAGAAGGAAGCAGAATTAAACATTCAGTTTAAATGATTCACCTGGGGAGGACAATTAAAACAATGGGAGGCTACTTTGTACTTACTCTGTTTGTTTTTCTTTTTGATGGTAAGTCATTTGATTCTGTAATTTCAATATCTGCTTTGACTGCATGCATAGGCTATGCAATAGGAATGCATTAGTTTTAAAAAGCCTTTGTCAATTTGACATATCTCGCTGCTCGTTGCTTTGGAAAAAAATGTCCAAACGTGTAAACATTCACAGGATAAAGTTGCATCGTAATTTAGTCCACTGCAATAGTTTTAAGTTCGCACAGTGTTGTTTTCTTTTGGCGAGCTTCTGGGACAGATTCACACTTTGTTCCGTTTTAAACCTCCTTCTGCAAACATACACATTGTCCTACTCAGCATGTATTTATATTATGTTTTTTAATATGCAAAGTACTGTAATGTGATGTTTATAATGTGCGCTCTTATGTCTCATTGGGGATGAAGAGGATTAAGCATTAGTGCTCATGTGAATGTAAATAAAGCCTGAAATGCATGGTCTGTTTGCTGTTTTTAGAGGACTTTGAGCCTATGAAACAGAGACTCCATATATAGGCTACTTGAGAACGCAGCGCAGTTTGCAATGAAAAGTCCCGAGGCTGTAATCGTTTGTTTGAAATCACGTGATCGATTTTTTT